GTGCTGCGGCCCCTGCCTGCCAAAGCATTGTAAAGCCGAGGAACGAGAAACACTGGAGCCTCGTTCAATGTTAATCATCTTACTATTACTATTATTACTACTGTTACTACTACTATTACATCTACTTCTATATTATTACTACTCTTACTATTATTACTACCATGCGTGTTACTACTATTATAACATCATACAGCAGGCTGGGCCTGTGGGCGTGGACAGATTGCAGGGATGACTTTTCGAGCACGTATTTTGCCCAATTCCCTTATATCGCCTGATATCCCAATAAATGGGGTTGCTGCAGGTCGTTACCTGTTTTTGACAAACCTCAAGAATCTCCAAGGTGGGCATGGCTGCAAACTAGGCCGCAACGCTCATCCTGCTGCCGCCACCGCCTCGCCACAGCGTTGCCACTACCACCGCCAATTCCACCGCCCCACCACGACCGTCCCGTCACCTTCCCACACTGCCCCACCGCCACCGCCACGCCAACGGCCAACCCCCCACCGCCCACTGCGCATCGCCCACTGCCTACTGCTGCTGGCAGCTGCTCAGTTAGCAGTCCTGTCTTGTGCAATGCAAGGATATTTCATCCTTTGCCTGTGGCTTGGTGGCATTGAGCGAAACGGCGGGGGTGGTTACGGTTGCTTTGAGCTCGGCAAGGCTTGGAATTTTAACCAGGAGACTGGCAGAGGCTTCTGGTGGCACAAGTCACAAGTCTGCTAACATGGCTGACGGCACTTGCAGCATTTGTTTGATGACATTGCTTTTGAAGGCTAGATCCCCCAACAAAAGCAAGAGGTGCTTCTGCATTCAGAACCGCCCTCCTTATGGCCATTGTCGTACATATGAGCCATTGTCTAAACTCCTAGTATCCCCCTTAATAACCCCTATACTAGTCCCCTATATAACCCCCCCTTAAGGAGTTTAGACTATGGTTCATATGCAACATCCTTCTGGCTACCCTCTACCATTATGGTGAAAGCTCCGCAGAGGTGAAGCTCGTCTTCTCGCTGCGGCACTGGGGCGCAGGCTGGCCCTTTGATTAGAGGATAGCAGTGTTTAGGGCTCAGGGGCACTTCTACAAGATTTGTGAAGTAGAGCCAGCAAGTGTGGGCAGTTTTGTATAGACACTGCAGCAGCATGAACAACCTGCCTCAGGGGTGGTACAAATTGCAACATCAGATATGATAGTCCCGTGTAGCAAGAGCACCTGTAGTCATAGAAATCATTCACAAAAAGGACGTATGATCTTTTGGTTTTTGCGCGTCCCCTGCAGCTAATGGCCTTCATGAACAGTGTCAGTGACGAGGATGGCTGCCACAAAAGGTAAAAAGGAATCCACGTTGCTACCATGTGCGTGATGTACCGGGATGTTTTAGTCTCGCTTCAAGAATTCACAGTCTCGATCTTGAGAATGTTAGTAGTTACAGGCCATAGTAGTGAGGATAAACTGCACGGACGCAATTGATAGGGTAGTTTCCCCAAATAGGGGACCCGAATGTATTATAATCCTTATTATGGGGACCCCCCAAAAGGTACCCCTAATTCAGGGAAATCCTAATCCCTATAGTCCCCCATATAATCCCAGTTTCCATGTCATTTTCCATTTTCTTTTCCACTTGATTCTCCATTATAGTAGGTACCCCTGATTAAGGGAGACCCCAAACCCTAAACCATATTTAAAAAAATAAACACATCCATCCCAAAAGCATCCCTATATAACCCCTATATCCCCTGTCTAGGTACCCCTAAATTCGGGGGGTCAGAGTTTTCCAAGATCACGAACGTGTGTAGGACTTGTGGCAGCATCTGGATGACCCGGGTGGCCTGGACTCACTGATCCAAAACTAGGGCTACCTTTAAAGGAGATATAAGGGTTATATAAGGATATTATAGGGATATATAGGGTTTAGGGTTTGGGGTCTCCCTTAATTAGGGGTACCTACTATAATGGAAAAGAACATGGAATCTACCATCAAGGGTTGAGGGTTTAGGGATAATGGAAAAGAAGATGGAATCTGCCATAGTATATTGGGTTATATAGGGATAATGGAAAAGAAAATGGAAACTGCTATTCAGGGTTAAGGGTGCAGGATTTGACAGAATGGGCAGCGAGGGTTTGCTTTGCCGTTCGTTGGGTGCCCTTGTGTGGGCCTTTTTATGGTGCACAGGCAGGCTCCAAGGCCCATGGCGTTTGGTTGCTTTCTGACTCCTTGTCATGAGTTTGCTTTCAATCCATGTGGGTTTAGGGTTTAGTGGGTTTGCCACCTGTCCGAGCAACTTCTCGTGAGGTTTCCTGCCTCATGGTCTTGAGCTATTCCGGAAAAGATGGGGAGCAGGGCATGCATGCTAGGACCACGGGACGCAGGATTTTGAAACCTGGGACCCAATCTCCAACCCTTTAAAGACCTGTATGTAAGCCGCGTGAACCCCGAAACCTTGAACTCCAACGTTTTTCCATGGATCATTCCTAAGGACCAACCTAAACCCTGACAGTACCCGACAAAAACATCAGACTAAGCCAAGCCCCAGCCTAACCATCCCTACACACAAAACATTCCTGACCTTCTACTCCCCCTCAAGTAGATAGAATATAGGGTATATGGTGATCTTATTGTGGTTTTGGGCAGTTCCATTTTCTATCTACTTGATAACCTTAAACCCTAAATCCTAAACCCTAAACCCTAGACCCAAAGGGGGGGCCTTAAAGGGGACCAGAAACTCCAAGGAGTGGGCATCATGTCGGCCGAGGTTGGCATGGTGCAGGCCAGCATCAGTTCCGCAATAATCCCCTTCCCTTAACATGAAACCCCTTACCCCTTAAAGGGGTATATAGGGGTTATTAGTTAAGGATGTAGGATTTAGGGTTCAGGGCTGATATTAACCCCCGCCACCCCCCTAATGTTATGTAGGTATTCCCAATATATTAAAATACATCTGGGGAGTGGGGGGGTTAATATGAGGGGAGGGGATAAGTCCCCAAAGAGTTGACGGGCAAATCCTGCAGTGATTCCCTCGCATCTCTCCCGGTCAAGCAGGATTCTGCGTCGCTGAATTTTGAAGTGGAACCCCTACCACACCCTAAGAATGAAACAGAATCTTCCACAGCAACTGTGCTTCATGACGAGAGCAGCTATGGTTTCTTTCGCCAAGGTACCCTCTAAATACCATGCCAGCATCATTATGTTGGCACTGCACAGGTGCTCCCCTGATGGGAAGTCAAGAGCTTGCGCATCCTGCACGGTGGTCTCCCACTGATTGGCCTATGGAATTTCATCGTTGCACAGCCTTCCCATTGGAGTATGTAGCCAAAAAAACGTCATGTCGCATGACCGTGACTAGCAGGCGCTACTGAGTCGGAATATCGCCGGAAGGAACTGCAATTTCGGTATGTGCCAATTTCAATGCATGGACATGAAATTCTTCGGTCGCCCCGCCAAAAAGGTGCTCTCGCATGCAAGCAATAACAAGCACTGAGAAGCCTAGCCAGGCGTGTTGTACCGCTATGCGAGGCACCTTACAATCAAGGTGGGAAAGCACCCAGACCATGGTCAGAGTATAGTTTCCATTATCGTAGAACAGCCGTGCTTCGTGATACGTAGCTCGCTTAGTCTGAGCATGAAGCTGGACTGTGGACTGCTGTGCTCCTACCGTGCCGGTCGTGGAGCTGGATGCATTTCAGCTCTGCCCTTCCGGGTGGCTCACATCTGCCGTTGGCGGCATCGATGGTGACCAATATCGGATGTAGCTAACGTCGTACAAGATGATATGCGAGTTTCTTTAAAGCCGTTGTCAGGTAGTCCCAACTAAAAACCCCAAACTCCTCAGAATCTTCAGGGTTTTGTTTGGGGCTTCTCTTTTGACAACCCCCCTTTGTGGGGCAGACAGTGCGCGAGGACGGTGACTATCGCCACCATCATTCTCACATAGCGTTGAGGCAGTAGAAGCAGTAGTAGCCGTAGTAGAAGTACAAATAGTCAACCTGGACTTAGTGGTAATCGTAGTAATCTTGGTAGTCTTAGCAATCGTAGCAAGTAGCAGTAGCAGTAGTCGTACTTGTTGTAGTTATACTTGGTACTTGTTACATGGAATGCCAAGTGCAGATGTGATACCCTGATCAATGCACCATCTTCACAGCTCTTTGAAAGCTGGAGGTCCACTTGGCATCATAGTTAGGGTTTAGGGCCTAGGGTTTAGGGTTTAAGGCTTAGGGTTTAGGATAAGGAGATCTAAGAAGTACACCGCGTAGTTGTTTTGTGGGAGATGCTGGGCCCACAATTTACATTCACACACCGCACGTCATGATTTCACTTGTAAGCATTGTGTCCGTAAGTGCATTGCAGGTCTCTTGCTTCCTGTCGCGCACAGGAGAAGAATCCGCATTGGATTGTGATTATTTTTTCCAGGGGATGAACGAGACAGAGAAGAGAACAATGTTTTGCAAACCGGCATTGCATGATATCAGATGCCAACTGGGGTGTAGAATGGTGCCGGATTTTCGATTTCGACTCACGAGGAATATGATTGGCAGCGTGAAGCTGACCCACCCTGGGATTGAAGCTGGTGAAAGACGTGATGGTCAGAGATGCCCTTGGCATATTGTGGTGTGCATGTGCCCTGCTGCCTTTGTCCAGCTTCCCTGGCTACAATTCCGGGGGCGAACCGTTGAATGAAACGCGCAGAGACGGGAACAAGCGCTGCATGCCTTGCAATCATGAATTGTGGACCTTCATGACAAGTATTATGACAACGCACTCACTAGTAGCATGATTCTGCATTGTTACAACACCATTGCAAAAACCGTAATCACAGCCACTGCCACCACAGCTATACTCGTACTACTTCTACCATCCTCCGATTGTTGCTCCTAGCAGGCCGCCATTGCTGCAACATGATAGAGGCCTCCTGCTGCTGCTGCTGCTGCTTCCATTACTACTAGCTCATCATCTATCTCTATTTGCGCCTGCAAAGACCATTGGTCCCTGGCCCCTGCCTGGCAGGCCAACATCCAGAACTACACTTTGCTGCCGCCATCTCACCCGTAGCCAGCTAAGCAATACTGCGGCGATAAGCATGAGAAGTTGTCCTAGCAACGGGATGGTAGCTATAGTCGTAGTAGGAGTGGTCGTAGCAGCAGCAAAGGCGCCAGTACCAGTATCTGCTGCAAGAGTAGTGGTCGGTGTTCTCGTCGTCATCGTGGTAGTAGTATAGTAGTGGTAGTGGTGGAGTGGAAGCGGTAGCGGTAGCGGTAGTGGCAGTGGTAGTAGTAGTAGTAGTAGTAGTAGTACTACTACTACTACTACTACTAAAACAGCAATAAT